ATTATCGATTGTATTTGTTTCAAAATTACAATATTTGGGTAACGACAATCAATATACTTTCAATTAGAGTTATGGAGATCAGTGTTTTTACATATTGAAATAATTAATCAATCATTATTGGACCACCATTAGAAACCTGGAAGCACTGGACGGCCGTTTCGTCCTGGTATGGGACTCATCATTAAAGCGCATCCACGACTCCAGCGAGCAGCAGGAATGGTTAGGCTTTCGCACACAAGACTGAAGGTCCTGGGTTCGAATCCCGCGAGTAGCAGGAGTTGAGGATGCGCACTGCTGATGAGTCCCATAGCAGGATGAAACAGCCGTCCAGTGCTTCCAGGTTTCTAATGGTGGCCTAACAATGATTGATTCCTGATTTCCATGTGTAAAAACAATATATATGATTTTAAAAAATTAGATTTTCCTCTTCAAACATCATTTATCAAGCGTTTTCTTCTTTTGTCAATCAGTCAGCTACAACGTAGAACTTCTTACATACGTACATTAGTTCAAATCGCCGAACCATATTAACATAAACAGATAGTATTGTCAAATCTCACATTAACAGAGGTAGTAAATATTTTAGCCGTAATGGAGATTAGGGTTCAAAGATGTTATTAAAGAAGTATAATCTACTGAAATACAGATGATGTAGGTGATGTAGAATCCAGAGTAGGAATTGAGAGGATCCAAAGAACGGATGCACCTACGCCATTGGAAACGATTTTCAGTCATGCCGTTTAAGATCTCTATAAACATCGGTCTTGTGGATTCGAATCAGATGGTCTATATCTAAGTAATGCATACAATTATCGTCGTAACGCCTGTTTTTGTTTCGAAACCCTAACATTTGTATGGCAGCAATATAATATCAACGAATCTAGTAACCGATATCTTATAACTATTTATTTTCCTTTCCTATACAGTGAAGTCATAATATAAATAGTCTTCAGTATTTTCTTAATTCGCTTATGATTATAGTGACCTAGAAATAATGACACCCTGTCAGAATATCACAAGATTTATTTCTACAATGTAGGTCACTTTCAGTAAGGTATTAATGAAAATATTTTAAGTAGATAACTCGTATCAATAAATGACTCAAATCTGAGTAAATCATTGTGATTGAATTTGAAAACTGAGAATGGATTAATGCAATAGACTTCAAATCATATATATTTTAATATGTGGGTTGATTGCAATACCCACTGTCTAGTTGAGTAAACCAAAGTAGGTGGACCAATAATCCAACCCACTAAGCCATAGATTTAGTTTTAATATTAGTGGAGTTTAAAAAAGAAAGATAAACAAGTAGTTTGTCACAATTTAACACGATTCGAATGATCTATTACCAAACGAAAATAGATTGATTATGTAAGGGAAGTTATAAGTCTGCTAAATAAACGTAAGACTTAAATTTCTGTATTTCTAAAAACACCAGACTAAATATAAACCACAATTTGAATACAAGAGAAAAGATGAGAAGTAAGGGATGAACACTTTACATCAAGGTTACCTTAGGTACAGAAAAACAAAGTTATTTGTAGCTCCTAATGACTTTGGGGCTCTAGAAGATTCCATAACCATACCAAATATAGAAGCTTTATGGCTAAATAACCAATCGGGGTTTTGGTACATGATTTTACATTTCCAAGATGTTTCTGTGAAGTTTCTATCCAATGCTGATCGGACGAAACGTCTCCAGGAGTTTCTAGGCTCTCATCTACATTCCTCATGGATATTTTAGAGCTACCCAAAAGGATGATGTAAGAGAACTTTAGTGTTGTAATCACCGATGTTTGTTATATCTGATATCCATTTCGGTACATTGTATATTTTGAATATTGATATTATAACAATTTATTTACTTAAAAATCTACAAAGTCGTTCATTTGTAAACTTATTTCACTAGAGATAATTTCAAATTTCAGACAGTCAATTTTTGAATGAAAATTCAAAATAAATGTGGCAAGAAAAATTTTGTTTTACTTTGAAATGATATTTAAAAAACAATTTATAACAAGGAAAAACCAGTAGGAAAAGTTATTTGATGAACATATCCGAATTTCACATGCGTTATGAAATCTAATCGATACATATATTATTCTTTATCATCAGATAGTATGTATCTTAGTACACCTACCTGTGCTGAGAGTTGGCACCTCTCGCAGTAAACAGTATACAATCTTTCCGAAACATAAAACGCGTTCAGCAACTAATTACTGAATGTGAAATTTTACAAGATTTTACTTTATATGGGTACGCTTCACAGTTTTGTAAACTATGAAATCTAAGGCGAATTTAATGTCGTGCTACCGCATGCGTTGATACAATCGAGAGTCAGTTCTTTCGCTCAAAATGCTTACAAACGGACACGCATTTATAGCCACTGCCAGGGAAGTCTTACTCACTAACTCCTCGTAGAAGGAATGTTGTTTATGAAATTGAGACAACGAAAAGCAGATGTTCGACACTCAAACCGAGTTTGTGAATATGAAGGACACATTCAGAGGATTTGGAAAATTCTAACTTCAAACCAGCAGTGTATATGGACTCCAGGATTCTCAGGGGGCAAACAGAGTATGAACATATTGTTGGTTACAGGCTAGCATGGAAATGAATTTGCTAACATTGCTACACTGACTTGTGGATTAGAATTCTTAGCCAAAGGTTCAGGGACAAGTGCCTAAGAAAACTTTCTACTTCGGTTTCGGCATTCAGGCAAGATACCAACCAGCCGATAAACAAATTCATTGATTTATGTGGTGTATAAATATTTAGATGTTTATTTGTACTAATAATTATGTCTTAAAATAAAATTAATACCGTACAATGACAAAACAGATGTCTAATGTACCCTGATTTACAACGAAATCACTATTGAAATTGATTTATGACAAAGAAAATCTACGTTTGAAACTAATTAAAGATGAATGCTATTATAATTTTATATTAAGTGATGCAAATCGATAAAAGCCATGTTGAGATTTAGTCAGAAACTAATGTACCAGGATTACTGGTAGCCCGGTCGGTACCAACAATCGAATACGCTATAAAGTAAATGTTACATTTAATTTTCGTATATTACATTTCGGCAACAGTGCAACAGTGAAAATTAAAAGCCCTATACAGTTTAGTTTAAATGAATTTATTACATGAAGGCAAAGCGAGGCGAGTAGGTGGAGAAGAAGAGTGGATCAACGCAATTCAATAACACATGAACGGACTGTTTACAGTGAGACAAAAACAAGCTGGATATGTGGTAAGCGAAGTTAGTAATGTACACATGCACACACACTCGAGTAAAAAAGCAGTCAAGGTGTGTTTAAAAGCAGGGATAGGTCACCTATCAGTACAGACCATTTACAATAAAAAACAAAAGAACTTTTGATTTTCGAATTTTTAATGTCCTGATGGTCATAAAGTTGAAACATTAAAAAAAAAAAAACTAAGCATACATAAAAACAGATTAAAACAACAACGATGCGGTAGCAAACAAAAACAGAAGTAAGAATACAGTAGTATGTTTTTTTTTGACCAATTTTGAACTAAATTTCCTAATAAAGAAATATAAGTTGAAATATTTTGGATGCAAATGAGTAACAGATGAATACCAGTATTCTACAATTTCAACTGACTAAAAATGTATTGTTCCTCGATATGAAAGTAATATTTATGCTTAATTGAAGAAAGCCATAGACCATCAGAATAGAAAAAAATGCAATAATATAAGTTTGGCGATGAGTATCATTAATAAACGCTTATTATACTTTCGAATATAAATAGAACGAAAATTCGCCTAATAATAACTTCAATATCAAGTAATGATTTAATGGGTCAAGTATGATAATATCAACAAACGAGTTGCGTTCATTTGCAATGGTTGTTTGAATCTTTCAATTAATGTATGGGACTGCAGTTGATCAGTCTCATTTGGTATATGTGAATTCCATATGGATTGCCTCGAAATTACCATTAAGTCACTAGCATTTTTTAAGGCAGAGGATGCTGGCTAGCAGTAGAATCTAGGAAGTAAGCCTCGCTCTATTTAAACGCGATGGCGTTTGCAGTACCGAATGTGTCCCGAAGTGAGCATCAATTCTGGAGCGCAGGTAGATTCCGTTGATAAGTCCCGAATGAAACGAAACGCAAGACCGCAATTCCACTGTTAGTCATCATCTATCTCTGCTTATAACAAATTTCATATTCGAATCTACATTTCTTTTAACTTATCTGATAGCATCCAAAGTCCATACATATTACCGAAGTAACGTTAGACTTGTACTTGATCTACCGATTACACTAATCTGGTACTACACTAACCTATTAACAATCTGAAACTATAAAAACAATTACTTGTGTCTGTAAATATGAATGTAAAAGAATATGCATATTTCAATTCAATGACGTAAAACAGTAATGACAAATTAATTAATCCACTAACCCACTAGACAATAAATACTTCATAGGCACAGGATAGTGTTTATTTCAGCTGACGGAAAGCTGAATAAAATCTTTTGATATTATAAGGTTATGGAGAGAGTACTGGGTTTCACTGAAATCACGAATCGATCAATGGTAGATCACTATTAGAAACTTCGAAGCGCTGGTCGGGTTACAATGTAAATCGACTAAAATTAGGTATTAACACTGTTGGATATCGGCTCAGTGGTCAAGAATTCGCACGCGAGCATCTTACACTATAACCAAAGGGCCGCCTACTGATTTCATGTTTCTAATACTGACCTAATACAGATCGATTCATGATGCTCATTTAAAAATCTCTTACATAAACCAATACTACTAACATATATGATACATGAATATTAAAATTTAATTAAAAAAATTCCATGTAACAACACACAATTCAGAGAAATAAACAACCATTCAATCAATCAATCAATCAATCAGGCAACAACATTCCTAATTATAATTTTTTTAATTATTGAGCACAAGGAGAATGCAATCAAATGAAAAACAATAATTTTCATTGAGAAATATGTATATATATATTTGCATGTATGTATAAATTTTCATTTTTTTTTCACAGAAATAAATCAAAATTATTATCATCATCATCATCATTCCAATGTAGAGTTCCGGCATTCTGTTTTATGTGTATATATATATATGGAGATTATATTTTTTTTTGAATCCATAATTGACCAGACTGAAACAATCCACGCAAATAAATTACTCTTTATTGATTAAGTTTTGTTTTGTGTTCCAATGATAACAATAGTAATAAGTTATGTAACACTTTTACATACATACATACATACATACATATATTAATATCCCGTATTCTAATCTCGGCGGGGGCATAAGACGAGTGAGTAGTGTACTACTGCTGTATGTATGATCATAAAATGTCAATAAGTTGTTGTAATCGAAACCACTGAATGCAAAATAATAATAATAATAATAATAATAAGGATGTGAGAATGATTAACCAACTGTCCGTTCTGTTTTTACTCTTTTTCTTACAGTTAACGGTGATGAACAGTGGATTAGTTGTCAAAAGAGAAATAAACAATATCCACAGAAATAATCAATGAATTAATCAATCAGTCAGTTAATAATAATATTGACTGAACAGTCAAAAAAGAAAAATTCTCAACTGATACGTAGTATCATTAATAACAATAATAATGATAAGCGTGGTTGGTAGTTAGTTAGTTAATTAGTTAGGTAATACTGTGGTTTTGTTAGTTGTAGTCAGTAAGTGATTGCGTCATTCTCTCTCTCTCTCTCTCTCTACACACACAGGCACATAATCCCAAAAAAAGATTGTTAATAATCAGAAAATAGACACAAGAGAAGACAGAATGATGATGATGATGACGATGATAAACAGGTGTAGAACATTGTTTCTAAAATTTGTCCCCTTGTTTTGGTTTAATTTTGTTCAACCAAAGGAAAAGTTTTTTGTTTGCAAAGAAAAAAGAAAACACTAACAAATTAAAACAGAAATAAAACAGATTGAAAAAAAAATGAAATGAAATGAAATGAAAAAACAAACCAACGCACAAATTAAAAAGTAACTAAAGAGAGAAATCAATTCACAAAAAAAAAACAAAAAACAGAGAAAAAGAATGTGGAATTCTTCTCATTCAACGAACACAAAACATGCCATTAAAACTGATACAATGGAAATGAAATGAACCAAGATAGGCGCGCGGAATCAAGTCAGTCAATAATAAAATGATTAAATAAGGCAATTGAACATTATTGAACAATGATGCATTAGGTGGCTGGCTACGTCAAGGTCAAATCTACCAGCTGTCACACAATATATCCATAACCATAAATGAGAGAGAGAGAGAAAAAAAAGTAAAGGAAAGAATAATACTACTAGTTTGGGAGAGAAAAAATTAAAATGAACAAATAAATAAATAAGTTAATTAATTAGTTAATGAATCAAATAAATAACTAGAGATATGAAAGACAAATATTCAGCACAGAAATATTGTTTTGTTTGTTCCTTTTTCCTCATACATAAACAAACAAACAAACACGCATAGACGACACATTAAAATAAAGAATGAATATGCTTATTTTTTGTAGACAGCCGAATGAATGAATTCTACAGGCGGTGGTGAGTCACATTGATTTTTTTTTCTGAATGTTTTTGAAAGATAAAAGATACCAGCTGCATTAGATTGTAGTACTTACTGTCAATTGTGTGAATCGTGTTGAAATAGTAAGAATAATAATAATAATAATACTAGTAGTAGTAATAATAATGATAACAATAAGGGAATGAAAGCCAAACAGTAGTTATCTAAAGACGCCGTAAAAAAAAGTAACAATGCCAAATTAGTATCGATTACACACCAACACCAACACCAACACACACACACACGCAGAAAGGAACAATGAAAAAAAGAAAATGTCATGGAATAAACAACACTGAACAAAATTCAAGGCTTTAATCAATAAAATAAAAAATAAACAAGCGCAGAAGAATACAACGCACGAACTAAAACGACAACTACACACAAAGGCATAAGAGAATGATGTGAAGAAAAAAAAGAATAATCATAAATGCAACCGGGGTGTGTTATTAGTTTTATTCAATAATTTAATTGGCATTAGCCTGTCTTTGCGGTCATTATTTACTAAGCTTGTTTTATCCACAGGCAAAGAGAGACATGTCGTTGTCATAATTATGAATGTACACACACACACACATATTTGGACAAACATAAAATTCAAATGATGAATCGAAAAGTCGAATGAGGCGCAGAATTAATCCAGTCAATAATAAGCAATTGAACATGGAACAATGAATGCATTGGATCGCTGAATGATGTACACATACACAAACACAGAGAGATTTGGACAAAATCACAAGGGAAAATAAACTAATGACGTCCTCCTGCATTACCAGTACCACCACCACCACCGCTACTTCCTCTTGTTGAAGCATTTGAATTCGATGATGGTCTAGGTTCATGCGTTTTATTTGAAGTTGAATTTGTTTTGTACAACTCTGATTGTTGACGTGATGATGACAGAGTAGCAGTAGTAGTAGTAGTACGTCGTTGTGAATTAGTCATTTGATTTATGTGGTTCAGTTTATTGTTACTATTATTAATCAAACTATTACTACTATTCGATATAGATGAATTGGATGGTGTACGTGTAGTAGTTGATTTAGGTATACTATGTGAATTATTACCATTACTACGTCGTAGATTTGACAGAGCACTTTTTAAACGACCAGTACGTCCTTCAACCGATGGTGCATTGATTTGATTGTCGGAATTTATTGTTTTAGAACTATTATTATTGATGTTATTGCTATTTAATCCATTTTTTGTGCATAAAGAATTAGTATTGTTGTTGTTATTTGTAGTAGAATTATTTTCACTACTTGAACGTAAATTCGACTTGGAAGTAGACGGTAGTTTAGATGCTGATAGAGGACGTTGTTGAGTCGCCAGTGGTAGATGATGTTGAGGATAACAGTGAATATTTGATGTAGTATTTGAAGATTTTTTCTTTTGTGTAGATGGTGATACGGATGGAATGTGACTAGTAGGATTACCATTGGAAATTAATTGTCGACGAGTGACAATTGTAGCAGGCGGAATATTTGAACGCATAGTCTGAAAGATTGATATTTTTTTTTAAAAAAAAGAAAAACAATTACGCAATAGCAAAAAAACTTGATTACAAAGTCGTTATTCTCAAAAAGATTTCAATAAAGCACGGTGGAACTGATAACTTAATAAAGAAACTAAAACTCAAATACCTTATTTAAAACACTAGTACAACACAATCTAATGAAATTATGGAGAAGAATTGTGGTGCAGAAATTATATCTGCAGAAGGTGACCTCTCCGACAGCGGCAAACAACAGAGTCAGGATGGAAGTCAACCTCAGGAACGCGCGCTATTAAAAGGGGAGGTGTGTTGGGGATGTTAGATCCCCAGAACTCACTTTGAAAGGTCCTAATTTTGTAATTTTATTCTGAAATTTTAAATTTCATTGTCTTTGCGCCAGTCGACCTTCAGCTCAAATTTTCCGCTCGGAAAATCCTTGATTGTCATTGGTTGATAGATTGTTTTAGTACGATATTTTGTGGCTATCACCGAGGGCGTTTCTATCATGTATAGCTCGGTTTGTGTGCTTGTCAACTTCGTACTTTCTGGGTGCATGTGGAATACATTTCTGTACGTCTTATCAAGACTTTTTCCTCCAGTTAGTCAGGTCTGGGACGATCGGATTAGTATAGTCTATCGTGTTACTGAATCATTTGTCCTCACTCTGCTTACAGAGTAAGATGAACTCGTAACAGTTCAAGCATATCAGCTAGTAGCCTACAAATATCCTCTACTCTAATTGACTACGTCTCACAGCCATAAAGTAGTACGGAGCGAACAGCTGCGCAGCAATGATGAGACTCCCCAGATAAGTGAAGCGGTTAAGCATGTCAACCGCTTCACTCCCTATCACTAGTTCAGGTGCCGATACAAACCAATCCTGAAGCAACATTTTGCATTTCGGCGGGGAGAACCACATCCTGAACATGCTTGCATTGTTGCTTAGGGTGATCAAAAGACTGCATGATGTCAGATTTATCATCGAGCAGAACTGTGTCATCGGCATATTCCAAGTCAAGAAGAGAGTCTCCTGGTATAAGGTCAACTCTTGAAAAGTCAGAGGGTGAAAGTGCCATATCTAAAAACACGTCGACGACAAATGTAAACAAGAATGGAGAGAATAGACAGCCCCGACGGAAAATCGATACTTGGAACTACATAAATCATTGTGTGTTGATGTTCAATCACACACTGAAACTCTAACTCAGTACCTATTGATCCAAAAGAATTACCAACTGATTAACTAAGCCTCTAAAGCCATAATATTTCTAATGACTATATGTTTTCTTGTCGTTTGATATTTTAGATCAGTGTATATGACCTGTCCACATCAAATGTCAAAAAATGTTGAGATTATTACATTACGAAGAAAATAACATCTAATCTATAAAAAAAACAAATACTCCGCTTGGAGCCCTTCTAAGGTTACGACTTCCAGTCTCAAACCCGGATATAAAGGAGGAGGGTTGAGCATGCGGTTAGCGATCTCATCCCATAACAAACCAACTCGCTAAGGAAAAAAACGCTAACCAGAAAAAAATAAGTCGCTGGTCGACGGCCTATGCTCTATTAGGGGTAACAAACGTAAGTAAGTAAGTAAGTAAGTAAGAAAATATTTACAAAAAATAAACTACACTCTAACTTACTTTGTTCGTATGTAGTGTTGATTCTGTTCCATGATTTAATTGATGCAAATGTTTAGAATTATTTGTTATATATGTAGTAGATGGAGTAGTAGTAGTAGTGGTAGTAGTAGTATTAGTAGTAGTAGAGGTTTTTGACAAATTATTATTCGTGTTATATTTATGATTAGGATTATTATTGACATTACTACTACTATTACTATTATTATCGATTGATTGTGAATCACTGAATGATTTACGTACTTCAATGGATAAATCTAAATTAAAAGGAAATACTAACAATTGTTCTAAATGTGTCATTAAATCCGCGTGTAATTCACGTTGACTAGCACGACATTGACGCATGAATGCATTTTCACAATAGAATCGTCGTAATAATGCATCATTGGCTACAAGAGCATTTAACCACATTGGTAAAGCTTTTGCACTAAAAAATTCAAGGAGAAATTTTATGTATGTATACATATATATATGTAGTAATGATAAAAAGTATAAACGATTAAAGATATATTGTCCTGATTCAGTGATTTTGTATGGCATTTAAACAAACCAATTTAAGGAGTTCTGTTGTCCCAGCGGGAAAAAAAGCTGACCTACGTCGTTAATACTTTAATTAAGTTACCTCACGCAGAAACAAACAAGTTATGGAGTTTGAATCGGTTGAGGTATCAGTGAGAAACAAGGAACACTAAATATCTGCTTTGTCATATAAAGTGACTAGGCAGTGAGCCTGTACGAGCCTTCTTTGGTATGAACTCAGAACCTTTAGGAGGTCTCACAGCGTCTAATGGTATATATTTACAAAGTCATAACGGCATAACGATTATCCAATGTTATTGATGTTGAACATTTCAATCCCAACAAATTTAAACTAAACAGATCGCAATTTTATAATTGGAAAATCAAGAACTTGCTCCAAATTATTTTGCTGCTGAACTTATAATTAGGATAAAATAGTTGTCAAGTTCTCCATCGTTTTTAACATTACTGAAACTGAGATCAATCAACTCACATGACACCGTTCAATTGCTATGCTCTGATTTCCCAACCACAGTTGCTACCTTGATGTAGTGCTCGGGCTTGCCTATGGTGGTCACCCAACCGAGCTACATTGGTTGGAATGTATGTTTCTTTAGGTCCTACGGTGCCAGGTAGGTCGATCGGAGGACGGTAACACTAAAGCAGCAGCTGAAAGTCTGAGGGCAAAGTCAGCTGTAACTTGTTTCACTCGAAAAACCAGCATCTGAAGCGATGCTATCTTCTCACAACGGAAGGAAAGCGTTAGAGTAGGTCAACCCTGAAAATGTCACACCTCACCTTACACCACGGATTTCCGTCTCTGGAGGTATGGCATTTTGAAGAGCAGAGCTAGCACATTAAAAAGTTTCCATAAAATCCCATTCGTGATAGGCCACAATCGGTTATCCCGTTGGCTCTACGTTCACGCTCACAAGTCGCTCAGACCAACGCTAACCCGATTTCCTTTTCAAATTCCTGAAGAAATACCCTTTCACAGAGTAGGCAGCCGAGAAATGACATCCGCCTTCATATCCATAACTGACTGAAATTAATCTCAATAAATTCGCAACATTTAAAATAACAGTACTACTTGATGGAAACAACGCTATAAAAGCTATTGAAGTTTATGTTACTTGATAATTATAACCTTATCAAACATAGCAACAGAAAATTAGTAGTGAAATAAATTTTCAGACGGTTATTCATAAATCGATGAAGTTTCATCATGTATTGATATCAGCTTAAGAAAACAGCACTGAAAAGCTAATCCATCTTAGTTTTAAGCTATTGACTATTGAATATGCATGAATATACAATGGATCAGATTTTCGATACTTAAATATTGTAACAAACATATCTTTACGCCATTTAGTCATAATCCAATGATACATATTTACAACTTTAGTCAATTAGTATTAAAATTACGTTTCTTAACCAATGTTGCCAGTGATGACTGTTTCACTCCCGAAACAGTTGAACTCACCAATAGTCATGATGTTTCACTAGAATTTTAACTAACTATCCTCAAGTTACAACGCCTACGAATAGACATTTAACATTTAACAAAGGGAGCTAGCAAATACATATTGGTTTTCAAAAGGTTATTTACTCAGCATTTAATTATTCAACAGAGTACTCCAATCAACTAAAAGGAAAAAATATGCACACATTTAATGTATCACGAACATACTTTAAACAAGCACATACGAATCCTTTGAATTTGACTTTTTCTAAAGTGACATTAGTCAATGCTTTCACTTGACTAATAGCATCATTCAATACATGGTAAGCTACACCGGCAGGCAATCCGCCTAAAAAAATTTGGAGAATTTAAAAACAATACAGTGAATTAAACGTATAATGCTCATTGATTTATCAATAAAACGAATACATATATTTTTTAATTAAAGTTATGAAGATTAGTGTTTTTCGCACATTGAAATCATCAATCAATCATCGTTAGACAACCATTAGAAACCTGGAAGCACTGAATGACAGCCGTTTCGTTCACGTATGGGACTCATCAGCAGTGCGCAGGAGTTGTGAATGCGCAGAATATATATATATATATATATATATATGTAGTTACCGTAGTAACTACAGTAACTATGACTCTCTTAATGTAGCCAAATGCCTCGTCATCTGATTGAATGGGTATATTAGGTAACGCGCATAAATGGAGCCTTCTTGGAGTTGTGGTGGCGGCTACCTCTACATGGTCCTGCTATTCAACGTGGAGTTGTTTACAGCGCTGTGGCTAAAAGCCGTTCCGAACGCTTAGGATACCGTGCCTAGCATGGTCCAGAATAATGGTACGTCTTCATGGTCGCAAGGCCGTGGATGCGGTCAGCCACTTTGGGGGATTAGGACTGGACGCCTCTAAGTCTGAATCCCGTCCACTGAGCGTAGGTGAATTTGAAATAATGGGATATAGCTTTGCAAGATACCTGACGGAGGCCCTAGACTTCTTGTTTGGGAAGCAGCCCGAAAGATGCTGCACTATTGACGCCGACCCTATGTGGTTGTCCCAAACACTCTGCATCTCGGTGTATTGTGTCAACTGGCGTCGAGGCCCCTTAAACAAGGGTCTCCAGTTGGGTTATGTGATCCAGTGCTGAAAGGGTACTGGACGCCAATGATGTCTGCCCACTTATGTAGTGGGATTAACCCGGCTTGGTCGAGTCCATGACATCTTGCCCATGGGATGGTGTACGTTCCGGCTGACCTTGTGGGACAAACTCGATCTTTAGCTTCATGCGGGGTCTGAGGGCTCCGGTCGATTGTATCAGCACAAGGCAGTTGGAGGCCAAACGGTTGGAACGGCTGCCGATTAGTGCACTGCTGGACGGCTCAGTAATCCGTTCGGGGCGCCAGGTCCAGCTGGGAAAGCCCGCCTTGCCGATTGGAGATTGTGGGTAGTGGATTGGTTGGAGGGATCTTGTTGACTCATAAGTGCCCGAACGGGGGGCCACTGCTCGTGCGCTTGCTTTTTGGATGTCCACTTGTCTGCAGATCAATCTAGACAACATGTGCGTTCCCGTATGGGGAAGGGGTGATCGCAGTACTGGCTCTTGTGAGAATCCTTGTTGCCTAAAATGCAGCGGTGTGCATGTGCAGCAGGCATACCGGTTAACCAATATATATACGTATATATTCCGGCTAATATTATGTGCATTCATGTATATAGCATCTATATTCTGAGCAGCAACAGATTTGTTTTCTAAATAATTTTGACATTAAAATCAATTCGCATTGATATTTACAAGTGTCAAATTTATTCAAAGGTCTAGGCCACGATGATGATACATTTAAAAAGTTTATTTGGTTGTTTAATGCAAAAAACGAAGAAACAGAAGAAGGCAAACTGGCCATATACAAACGCAGTAGTACAATATAAACATACATAGATAGGTGTATATGTACACGAGTACAAACATGTATGTACGTATACCATTATTAGTCATGTATAATACAATGCAATCGATTCAATTTGTGTTTGACCTATGTCAGCATAACCATTGTGATTTCGACTACATCAGGCCATGGCAAAGATACATAAATAGAGACTGGACTACGAACTGTTAAATAATAATGATTTGTACAAATGAATCAATTAATTTGTATAAAAAATTGTTTAACTTATTCACAAACTATTCGAAAAGTTAGTTTAACTTTCGTCGATTCGGCTACTAAATGTGATGAAGTCTGGGACATATATCTTTTTATTGAAAAAAGATTAACACAGAGCAGTAGTTTGCTTAATTTAATTTCATGACTGTGAAGCATAACCTATGAAGGTGAGGGATATTAGTGAGATACGAATATCTTATCACGGATGTCTATGAAAAACTACTTACGTATAGTAGAACAATCAAGTGAACAATGAGCAGATTAGAAATTAGGTAATGGGTAAGAAGAAAGTGGAAAATCAATTGACGAAACTGTAAACTTCTATCGAATGATATGGCTAGGACAAGTTTTACATGTTTTATGTACAACGAACGCGTAATTCAACAAGCGGTGCTGATAGACAGTTAAAGAAGACCAAATTAAGGCATAGTCTCAGACTATAAAGTTACTAATTGTTGATCTGAGACATCCTGGTAGATGCATGGTAACGGCCAATGCAATATTCATGGTTAATGGTTGAAAAGCCAAGGTGATATGGCTCAAATTAAGTTGAGGAAGAATACATGTATTTATTCTTCACCTTTTTTCAAATTCTGAGTTCCAATATTTATTTCATAACACTAATTATGATTAATTGATCGATGTCAACAACAATATCAATCAATGCTAGATACTCTATTTCAGGTTAAAATAATTTGCGATAAAGTGCAATCCTTATTCAATGGCATCAATAATAAGTTACTGCTTTCACTTTGAATTTTGATTGATTTTAAGGACATTAGCTTCATCAGATACAACGTATGATGAATAAACCCCTAAGTAGTAAAATCACTGGTGAGCAAAGAGATATAGATATGAGAACGTGTAATTTTTGGAGACCATGTGACATTAATCAGTCAGTCAGTCAGTTACAAAGTAAGACTTCGTACGTACGTACATGAGTTCAGGTTGCCATACCACATTAGCATACAGCCCACAGTGGACAACTGCTTGAGGCCGGTCACGCAAGGCCTTTTTATGAGAAGTTTTTAAAGTGTTAGCTCCGTTATTTTTAAAAGGCCTTACCACCGGAGATGGAAATCCATGAGGTGTGACATTTTCAGGGTCGACCTACTCTAACCCCTTCTTTACTGGTGAGAAGGCAGCACCTCTCCATTACTGCTGTCACACCTCCCTACATTCAGTAGTACAACTTCACACTCAGACCTTGAGTTGCTTCTTTTAGTCTCACAGTTCTCCAGTCGACCTGCCTGGAATGGCAGAACCTTCATGAACATATGTTCCAGCCAATATAGCTCGGTTGAGTCATCACGATAGGCGATCCCGACCACCACGTCAAAGTAGCAGTTAAGGTTGGGATGTGATATTAATGTTTGCATATAAATCAGAAGGTCCAAATTGTCATCTTATGAGGTCACGTGTAGGGTTTCATAAACAGAGAGTTATTAGTTGTCCAATTCTCTATTGCTTTCAATAATGCTCTAACTGATATAGTATTGCGTATTATACCGGGTGATTAGCAACATACATCGCTCTTTGTTTTTTCTCAGATTCTGATCTTCTGAATTCTTCATAACCTTCATCCTTCTCTTTTTAAGTTTATTTTACTGGATTGTACCCCTTGAATAACATCTTCAAACTCTTACCTCTCTGATTACTGCTAATAATTCTGCTACCTCTACTACTAGGGGATTTAAACTGACAGTTGCATCATTGTCCAATCGTGGTATGGTAAATTGAACTGATGTGCGTACGTACGAAGTTTTACGTTAATGCTGACTGATTGAACATGCTCAGTAGTCGTCAACTAAGTAGCTGGCACAGATGTACATCGGTTTCGATTACCACATACCAAGTTAGTATAGTGAGAGGAAATCAACATGAGATGGAAACGAGAGGAGCTAGTTTTAAAAGTCTAAGTATTGGGAGAATAAACAGACAGAAATGACACTCAGCTCAAGATACAGAAGGTAGAGAAGCAATGCAGCTGAGCTACAGCGATTAATTTCATACCATTATCTTTCAATATCTCGTCATTTGTTGATTACGAGTAACATGTGAACCCAAACACAATATTTAACAAATCTAACATTCTACACATTTTAACAATTCACAATCGATGCCAAATGATAATCTAAAAAAACAGCCAAGTGACAAAAAATTTGTTGGTCAGAAAGAAAGCGAAAATATCCTAATTATCGATAATAATAATAACTAACCTGGTCTACAACTTTCTTCAACCAACTGCCATAAACGTGTACGTGGTCGTGAAGTGAATATAGGTTTCGAAGGTGGAAGTAGACCATCACATAGTAGAATAGTTAAAGGTGGTACTATGGCTAAACGTGGTTGTTTACCAGAAGAAGTACTGACTGATTCAACTTTGGAATGACGACTAGTTAAATCTTCGTTTGGTGTTAAGTTGATATGTGGATTGCAAAAATAGGCAACTGTTTCTTGGACTGCTTTAATGACATCATTGACCATAGCTAAATTAGAACAATATAATAGAAAGAAATCATAATATCGTTATCAATGGATAAACTCTGTCATACCTGTGTGCAAACAATATCACTAACAATGATTAATTAAAAGTTGGCTTTATATCAGAAAAGAAGTTTCTCCGAATGCTAGTGAGATGTTGTGACTAGTATAGTTCATCCCTGTTTAGATGTGAAGCAGTACTACTCACTGAAGACAGACTATGGATTGATCGAAGTTAGACAGTCAGTGGTACAGAGGTTAAGAGTTCACGCGCAAGACCAAAGGTCCTGGGTTCGAATCCTGCGAGTAGCAGGAGTCGTGGATGCGCACTGCGGATGAGTATCGTACAAGGATGAAACGGCCGTCGTCCAGTGCTGCCAGGTTTCTAACGATGGTCTAACAATGATTCATTCACGATTTCAAAATAACAAGAATCAAAATAGACACAAATGATAACAAAAAGATGGTTAATCGATTGGTGGGGCTGTGGCATTTGTAGCAAAAATAGATAGAAAATACTATGGATGAATGATGTACACATTTAATCAAGTGTACTTGATGGAAAGAAATTTCTAAAAATCTCGCTGAATTTTTCTCCTTATTCTTTTCTTTCATGAAGTAAGAGTCTCTTAACAACAAAAAATGGAGGAAAATAGGAGAAAGTATTTAACAGAAGCTTAAATGTGGTCATTTGATGGGAAGGTTAATAACTTCGAATTCTGCAATCACTAAACGAGAGCACACAGTAGGAATCTATTTTAGCTACCAGTTATAAAAACACTGTCTTGCGGAGTCATCTGATTGGTCAGGCGACTCAAGCAGTAAGTAGCGCAGTCAGCACACAGAATACAGACACATGTAAAATCCGATAATCTCTTACTTGAATACATAATACACACACAAAAATAAAAAAAAGGAATTTACAATAAATCATGATGATCAAAACTAACCATGATATCGAACATCAATATCTGATTGACGAGTTAATTTCCCACTTTTTCCACTATCCAAACTTGGACTAGATCGTGGACTAAATTCAGCCAATGGTTGTTCTTGACCATATAAGCCCCAATTCCGTGGAATCACTATAATTGAAATGATAATTAAGAAATAAAAGAGAATGTAAGGAACCTGATGATGATGATGATATAGTGATGACACTAGGAATAAATAATCAACTGGCTGGAACATATGTTCCTCAAGGTTCTACCATGCCAGGCTGGTCGATTGGAGAACGATCAGACTAAAAGCAGCTACCCAAGGTCTGATGGCGAAGTCGTACTGCTGACTACTGCAGAGGGGTGTGACAGCAGTAAGGTGTTTCCCTCGGACAACCAGCATCTGCAAAGATGCTGCCTTCTCACAAGGAAGGAAGGGTTAGAAAAGGTCGACCCTAAAAATGTCACACCTCACCCTACTTCACGGATTTCCGTCTCCGGTGGTAAGGGTGCCCACTAAGGGCTTTTAAGAACGGAGCTAATCCTCAAAATACCTTTCATAAAAAGACCGTGAGTGACCGGCCGCAAGCAGTTGGCCCTTGGACTCTGCGGTCACGCTCCCAGGTTTCCAACACCAACACTAATCTATCTTCCTTTTCAGGTCCCTCAAGGAACAACCTTCCACGGTGTGGGCAGCCGGGAAGTGACAACCGCCCTCATACCCATAACAGCACGAGAGACCAAATTGGTCGAAATCAAATCCTTTCATCAGTGTTTATTCAAAAAATAACATCACAAAAGTGATCATATGCCTTAGGGAATAAATAACAGTAACAACAGTTGTAATAATAAAGTTTGGCTAACAGTTAAAACACTATATACTAACTAATAAAAATAAGTCAAAACGAACAAAGAAATTTGTTGGATGGTTGAATCTAGTCAAAAAGAAACCCTAGACTTAAGTTTTATGCTTGTTAACAATCATCAATCAGGCATAGCCTCTGATCTAAAAGGAACTGATACTACCTGCGACATCCTACAGGAGGTTAATCGCAGCCCGTATAACTTAGTTGTAAGGTACTAGACTGTGAAGCTGAATGATACGCATTCAAATCCTACCACAGAGAGTAGTGGTTCTATCCAGATTACAGATACGCCTTTTTGACAAGTATCAGCTATTATGAACCTTAGTATCACGGTTTCTTGTCAGTTACCTTCACCTACCTAACATCACAACATAGTGTACACAATGTTGAATCACATTACACCCTAATTGACAGAATGAGATCAGGACTCTAATGGATTAGTAAAATATGCCATGAACGGTTACGTAGTGATTAATTGTAGAGTATTTGACCAAACAGTATCACCACTGAAAACACAATGTGACATGCATTAGGAGTGACGATCATAAATACGTCATATTAAAATATTCGTGGAATTACAAACTTATTTGTTTAAGTAATTTAACATGATGTGTAAATCTTTTTTGCATAGAAACTGAGAAACGATCGACCGTCCTTAGTTCCCTTCCAACTGACAACAATCAACATCGCACACTGAGGTTGTCGATGGTTGGCTGCTATACATAGTACATGTCTTAACTATCTCGATCGATGAATAATTAATGCATACTTCACTGACATACTATCCTTACCTAAGATCCTGTGTCTATCCTTCAAATTATTCGTTTGGTGATCATTCGATGAATATATGAGGAATCCTTTGAAGTCATCTGGTAATCTACGAATATTCTCTGTTACTAAAATTCATGTTCTAGAACGCTACCAAGTAGACTAGAACGAACAACTGATACACAGTGGACTACTCATCATTCTATCGGTAGACAGAGATCTCTCGCCTTAAACCACAAATGACGTTAACTGATCTCATTCTGAATCCTTGCCAAGATTTTATCACATTTGGAATAATATGAACATGGGGAAAATAACTATGGATTCTTATCGACTAACCTTTAGGTTCAGGTGATTGTTGTGTTGATGAATCACTATACTGATGATGAATATGATGATGAGAATCTTTGGCATTCAATTGCAATGAACGAATATTACCACTAAAACTAACACTTTTCTTTGGTTGTGAAGATAAACTATGCAAATTCTCATCAACTGATTCATTTGTTTCTAATGAATCCTTTTTCCTATAATTATAATCATGATCATTATTCTGATATTTATGAGATTTCCCATTGGTAGTGGTAGTGGTAGTGGTAGTCGTAGTAGCAGCAGCAGCAGAATAACTATCGACTGATCCATGCATTAGTTGACTAATTTGATTAGAAGAAATTGAACCATTTATTAAATCCGGTTCAGATGCTGAACAACGTTCTATAGTTTCAGGATAATGTAACTGGAAAAGATAGGAAGAAAGATGAAGTAAACAAATGAAATATGAATACATTATGTTCAGTTGATTTTAAAGGTAACTGTTTATTTTTCATCAGGTTCATATTTCTTGATAAATGAGAGAAAATTGATACTTTTTCTTGTCAAAGCATTAAATATGTTCAGAATACTACCTTCATCATCATATAACGTGTTCACTGCTTCATTTATCTTGAGAGTTTTCATCAGTGCTGATGACCTGGTGTCTGGAGAAATCTCAGCACGAATACACAGAAGATGTGACTCGCTTGCGTCATTTACGAAGTAGGCGGAATATCCGTCTACCAACCAAAGGACGGATTTACTGTGCACGTCCTACTATACGGGTGTGAAACATGGCCAGTAAAAGTATAGGATGTGCGTAGGTGTCTCCGAAGCATTGCTCGTGTACCCTGTGACAATCGAGTAAGCAATGCAGTTGTTAGGATACGAGTACAAGGTAAGGATGGTAAATCAATAGATGAAGTAGTGAATCTTCACTAGTTGAGTTAGTTGGGACATGTGTTACGCACACCCAACCACTGACTGCCTCGACGAGCGATGTTTTGTGATTTAGGAGTAGGCTAGAATATAGCTAGGGGCGGCTTGACCAAAATATAGCACAAATCTATGAAGTCACTGACAATTGAACTAAGTCTTGTTGGTAAGTTTAAACTACCTGGTTGGGGTATGAGAGATGATAGTAACCGATGGTCGGAGATTTTGAATGACATGGCACAAAATCGTTTGGAATGGAGCAGGCGCATCTATTCTTTGTCTTCCTTCAAATTCTAATCTTCTGAGTTCGTCATGACAGTTTGCTTCTCTTCTTAAATTTATTTCACTGGAGATATATTTCTCGAATGATATCTTCGATCCCCAATCTTTTTGATTACCGCTCATACTTCTACTACTTCTACCACTACAGGATTTGAACTGATAATTGCGTCTCTGTGCTAAAGTGGTATGGTAACTTGGACTGATGTATGCATGCACGAAGTTCCATCTTGTAGCTGACTGACTGACTGATCATCAATATGAGACAATGGTTTATTGAAAAATAAATCTTTTTAAAAAATAATCTTCATGACGAAGTGATTACAGATGAAAAACTATTGAAGATCAAGGGGGAATACAAGTCAACAAGTGCAGATTGGAATACTTGAACCCACGAAAGTGTAATAAGACTTGATCAACTGCTTAGAAGTTGAATGTCAAACCTATTAATCCCCTGCTCCATGAAAGTAACCGCCCAGTGTTTTTTTTAGTTTTCAATGATACTTCAGATCAGAGGTCAGTTGTCTTTATGGATATCTTTAAACTGCCTGTTGAATTGTACTACTATATAACTGTGACAATTAGACCATTTATAGGTTTGCTTTTATTAAAAATAGGTGTACGTAGTCCATATAAATAGGATACTTAGTAGCAAAAACTTATTATAACTTTTAAAATAAAATAATTTTAATCTGGTATCTACATGGATGTCAATGGGCTAATTTGACCAGTTCATCAGATTGTATGTTTGAATTGATGAAGCTTGTTCAGACTATAAAAGATAGAAAAGAGTTTTGATACACTCATTATTCAGTGGTTGTAAAATACATATTCGAAAATTGCTAAACTAACGTTTCATTTTAAAGCACTGTTGTAGAATAAATATTTTAAAAATGATAGTAGGAGTCTTAAAGTCAATAGTTTGACGTTTAGTTCTTCAATGAAAATCGATTGATAAACACTAACTAATGAGACTTACTCGACTCTGGTTTGTTGTTTGTATTTCTTTACGAGTACTGATATAGTTTGGATTTGTTCTGCTAATGGTAGATACGATATCTGGAGCATTTCTTTGTTCATTATCTTTAAAGTTAAGAGAGAGTTTTTTATTTTGATCAGATTGTATTTTAGATAGTTGCAACTTGGATGATTCATCTGAACATATATCCTTAGCGAAAACACGATCAGCAGATATAGATCGGCAACCACACTTAGTACAAGCACATTCTTTCTCTGACTGTGTAGTTGATAAGCAAGAAGCTCGACGTTTAGTCGTAGTTAGTGTACCTTGACGATCTTCTTCAGCACCAGCTTGACTTAAGAATGATAAATCAGGTAAAGTATTGAAAAGAAAAGCAGATCCAGGTAACCTTGAGGGGCGAGGGACTGGTAAAAGACCTAACCCAGGATAAGCAATTGAAATCCGTGGATTACCGATCCAACCAACTGCATACCCCCTAGCAGCACAACCCGCACGTAAGGCTGCCATATATGGTGAGTCTGGTCCATCAGATGCTGTAAGACAAGCAGCAATATTAGGAGGCTCGATAGGAGAAGGTGATTGTTGAATATTATTTCCTTCATTCGTTTTAGGAGTCATAAGACAATGGGGTGAAGGCATCGGTCGATTTAAATAAAGTGGCTGGGGATGACTGTGACGTACAGTACAATTATTGATGTGTGCAGCAGAACTGTTATGGCGCAACGGAAGTTTAGTCGAATACATTGGAGAAGCGTTTCCAATGTTCCTGGCTTTCGTTTGACTGTTCAAATCTTTGGAAGAAATATTTTTGGAATCATCTAAGGGGGGAAACTGAGCACCAAAGTTACGCATAGAGCGAGCAACGGCATCAGCACTAGTGTACAAGGATGAAAACTGGATATTTCCCCTACTTGGGAGTATTCTGTCTTTGAGTAATAGTAAATATTTATCATTTTCAGCACTTGGCTTCCTTGGATCCATCCCAGCAAACAGATAAGACTTTCTAGCCTTCGAGATACGTGGTGATATGGCTACTCCAAAAGGACAATTATATCCATTTGTAAGTAGATCTGCACGGTCAGAATCTCTCTGATGTATTATATGAGGTGGATTTGAATATGCAGAAACAGAGTTATCCTTTTGAAACGAAGCATTCAAATCCATAGCTGAATCAGCACTATGAACACCCAGTGAAGACATACCTTGAGCTCTAGCATGCATAAATATCTCAAAAAGCGTCCCTGAGAACCGATGCATATGAGAGGCACCAGCTAGGGGTTGAGGATGTGAGTGGCTTCTGAATGAACCTGTCATACTGAAGTTCGGGACAAGGGCGCCACTCTGATCACGTTGGTGTTGACGACTTTCACGGACACTGGACGATTTGCCAAGACTTTCGGCTCGTTTAACAACCCGCTTAAGTTGATTCCAAGTAATTAAAGCTCCGTTAGCGTCTTTGATAGTTTGCCAAGTAGTTTTATTGTCATTGTTTATCTCATTTTCTTTGTTTACATTAGAATAAGGAAAGGTAGTCATGGTCGATCTGAAAGATCTACGTTTAAGACTTTCACCACTCCCATATTTCTTTGCCCATGTGGTTGTATTAGAATTCGATGAATTTTGGTTATTTTGATGCATCGATTCAGAAATATCAGTAGAAACACCAACAGAACAAAGCTCTGTATTTCTATCAGCATGTTTCGGTAGTAAATGAGTTGTTTGGTCTAGAGCATGTCGTAAACCTGCTAGGCTAGCGGCAGCCAAAAGACTGCCCTGACTACGGGAACGACTAACTGGTCCTAAACTTGAAATATGGTATTTAGAAGACAAACAAGATCTATTTTCAAGTTGACCCTGTAGTCCGATAGAATCACCATAAACTAACTTGTAATCGACTGCTGCAGCAGTTCGATTGATAAGGGCTCGCAGCTCAGGGTTACATGAGCGCTCCATTAGCATGTCCATCCAGCTAGTTGAACCTGATGCATTGTAATGAACAGAACCTTGAGATTCATTATTGAACAGTTGGTTTGCAACATTATTGAAGTCAACCTCGTTGGTCTCATTAGATGCACGACAAACAAAGCCGGTTTTTGAGCATAAATGTTTGCTTCCATTTTCATTTTCTTGAGGAATATTCGATTCCATATTATTTAGCAACTGGACATCCCGACAATTTGACGCTTTTTCGTAATTACCGTTGCTTGGTGAGTTATTCGCGGCAATCTTAGAATTACTAAGATCACTTTCTCGCGAATTAACTGGACTACATATGCAAGAATCAGAACGTGAGTGACCAACAAGACCGAGCGGAGGCTTTCGACTACAATCCATTGATTGGACCATTAAAGGATACCTATTGTTTTCGTCTCCATCTTCCTGTAGATTTGAATCCATAGGCTCTGCAAATTCATCATCAAAAAAGTATTCTCCTTGTTCAAGCCAAACAGATGAGATTTGAGGTGTGTCAACTGTAGAACTTATAAGTGGATGAGGAGCAAATGAACCGGGTGGAATGTTGTGTAACATTCTAGTCTCCATTTGATAAGGGATGTATTTTTTAGTTGGATCACAAACGATATTTTTTCCTATTGGTTCCGATAGTTCTGAATTCTGACATGCTTCACCGTATCGCATTAAGCAAGTATTAAGACTTGCTGCATCCATAGTATCATTTAAAATAATTGCACAGCACGAATAACCTGAAAACAAAGAAACGTTCTAATAACATAAACATCGCAAGCTACCGAGTTCACAGTTTCAAAAAAATACTGCATAATGTTAGGAAAGCATTCTATCCTAAAAAATATGACAAAATGTAATACCTGATATAGGCAGCTTGTACTACTGAGTAAAACTTTTAGTCAATTGACATTTATGTCCTTATGGAATTCATAGCTTTATTCCAATGTAGAAGATAACAAGTCATGGCAAAAGAAGCACTGTTGTATGCTTTTATTATAGAGAGAAACTACAGAAAAAGGGATGCGAGATTATATGAAAAACATATATCTGTAAGAATCTGTAAGAGTCCGACTGTAGCTGCTACCTTGACGTGGTGGTCGGGCTTGCCTATCGTGATGACCCAACCGAGCTATACTGGCTGGAACATATGTTCCTCAAGGTTCTACCATGCCAGACAGGTCGATTGGAGAACGATGAGACTAAAAGCAGCTACCCAAAGTCTGAGGGCGAAGTCGTACTGCTGACTGCAGAGGGGTGTGACAGCAGTAAGGTGTTTCCCTCGGACAACCAGCATCTGCAGCGATGCTGCCTTCTCACAAGGAAGGAAGGATTAGAAAAGGTCGACCCTAAAAATGTCACACCTCACCCTACTTCACGGATTTCCGTCTCCGGTGATAAGGTTGCCCACTAAGGGCTTTTAAGAGCGGAGCTAATACTTAAGAGACCTTTCATAAAAAGGCCGTGAGTGACCGGCCTCAAGCAGTTGGCCCTTGGACTCTGCGGTCACGCTCCCAGGTCTCCAAGACCAACACTAGTCCACTTTCCTTTTCAGGTCCATCAAGGAACAACCTTCCACAGTGTGGGCAACCGGGAAGTGACACCCGTCCTCATACCAGTAACAGAACACGAGACCGAATTGCTCAAAATCAAATCCTTCCCACACCCACACATACCTCTCTTATCTCCACAACTAAATCTACTCATATTCCGTTATCTCACTGCATCGCTAATGCAAACGATGCGAGTTCACGAAACGTCATTTCTGGTCTCTTGAAACCTCGTTCTAGACTACATGTTGGAGCATCTAATGTACGGACATTGTGTCAAATAGGGCAACAGGCTTCCTTAACTAGGACTTTAGAATATCGTACCATCGATATATGCTGCGTCTCGGAAACGCGCATACAGGATCCTAGTAAAATTATTAATCTGATTTCAAAATAAAGAAGCAGCTCGATTTACCCTTCGTGTATCTGGAAGCCCTGATGCTGCGTCCAGGGGTCTTTCTGGCGTAGGCATAGTATTGAGTCGTAGAGCTGAAAAATCTTTCCTAGACTGAATCCCTGTAGATAGTCGCTTGTGCGCTGTCCGACTAAACGGGACAGTAAGGACTCGTAAGGATAGGGCCACTCGCCGTTGCCTCTTCGTCGTATCTGCCTATGCCCCCACTGACCAGTTCAGACGAGGTTAAGGATGAGTTTTACAATAGGCTTTCGAACCTCCTCCAAAAAGCTAGGCACTCTGATGTAGCAATAATCGCCGGTGACTTTAATGCTCAAGTATGTAGACTAAGAGAGCAGAAGAGACACCTGGATGGATGTTAGGGTGTCGCGGCCCAGAGAACAGACAATGGCGACCGTCTGCTGCAACTATGCTCAGATAACCGCTTATTCCTAGCAAACACTAACTTTAGGCGCGAGGGAAAGCATCTATTGACCTGGCGACCCCCAAAGTCGTCTCAACGTTGGACCCAACTAGATCACATTGCCATCAGCCACCGATGGAGGGGTTCAATAGAGGACTGCCGCTCGTTTTGGCGCACATGTTTAGATTCAGATCATGCCCTAGTGCGAGCACGTATTTGTTTACGACTTACTGGGCGTAGGAAAGACACCGTAAGGAAGCCTCTTAGGGTTTTACTTAATGATAATAAAGCTAAGAATATATTTCAGGAGAAACTAGAGAGTCAGGCAAACATGTAAGCGATTCCCATCCGGAAACAGGTTGGAATGATATCAAGAAGGCTGTGGAAACAGCAGTGATATCTGCTAGTAAGGTAAACCATAAGGCTAGGATGAAGCCGTGGATCTCAATAGCATCTCCCGAACTCATGGATGTTCGAAAACTCATCCCGCCTGGCTCCGAGGGCGACGAGGAGCGGAGTCAGCTTAGACGTTGGCTGATAAAAAGCCTACGCAATGATCGAGAACATTGGTGGGTGGAGAAAGCTAGAGAGATGGAAAAGGCAGTGGCGATAGGCAACAGTAGGCAACTATTTAGACTCATCAAGGAAACTGGCATTAGGAACCCAAATGTGAGTGAGACTATTTCGGAAAAGGATGATCTTATTATCCATTCTCAATCCAGGAGATCAGATCGACGGGCAGAACACTTCAGGGGTCAGTTCAATTGGCCTTTAGCAACACTCCGGTTACCTACGATCTCCAGTCAATTTGAATGGCTAATCGACGTAAGTCCGCCGAATTTTTATGAAGTTGAGAAAGCTATAGGAAATCTGAAGCGAGGGAGGGCAGCGGGTCCTGACAGACTGACCCCTGGGATTTTCAAGGATGCGGGTCCAGTTTTAACACTTGGATTGGCTGAGATCTTAGGTAGAATCTGGGAACTGGACGTAATCCCATCTGACTGGTTTTAATCACTGATTGTCCCATTCTATAAATAAGGAAAAAAGTCCTCTCGTGACAATCACAGAGGAATCAATTTAACTAACATAGTTTAACCAAGCTGACTCTTCACCAAAGCGATATTATGTCATGAAATTTAACAGCATACTTCTACTCCTAATCAATGTATAAACGAAGATATTGGAGTAATTTTACAAACCGATAGTTATAAACGTTACAAATATCCACTGATTTTATCGTCTAAAGAAAAGTACGTCTTAAAAATTAGCTTTTTTCTGGTATAAATGTAACTTAAATTTGCAAACAGAATATTATATATAACATGAGATTAGTCAGAAACAATAGGTAGTGTTATACGGTAGGCAAGATTCAAGCATAATTGCATAGCTCCCAGCTACTTAAAGAACGTTAAGTGTCTTGGACGTGGTTCAAAACTTACATATAGACAGACCAAAAGTTGTACAGTTGAAAGAAATATACATTTATCTTACTAATGTTGAAATATGTTTGGTATTTTCCGTGTACGGTTACCTGCTTAAGTGCTACTAATGAACAAAGATATGTACGCTACAGCAAAAGGAGTAAAAAAATGTAAAAAAGATTGAAGCAATGTAATGCATACTAGAATTGTTAATTATTCCTTTATGTAAGATAAGCTATTAAGTTGGATACTTGTTCAAAAAGCCCATCGATCAAATAAGGACCAGTCTAAATTTAAAAACGTTAGTGAGATTATTTATCTAGCTGCTTTATCATAGCACTGTCAGTGGATTACAAGGTTACGTTACGTCGTAGTTCCGGTATATAAGATGGCACAGTCGTGGAGATACATCTCGCCTGAAATACCGACTCAGTGAAGAGAAAACAATTCTCAACATGATACAAGTTAAGAGCAATAACCAAGGGACCATATTCTGCGTATGGAATTGTTTAGCCTGCAACTACCACACACAGCAGGGTAGGAAAAAACTTCAGCAAGTAAAAGTGATTAGGATATTGACCGTCATAAATGCAGATTTTTAAAAACTATTGAGGTATGGGATGGTGTGGATACCATAAGCAAGGACTGCGGCTTATCATACGTTCTGAGATAATGGACATGCAATCGAACCAATAAGAGGAAATAAGGAGTATTGTTGAGGAAATTTCGGGATCTTTCAGTCACTGAATTAACTTCACGGAAGATATACTGAATAATTAACTAGTAGAGTTAAGGTGATTCTTGATTAAAGGTTGTTACGACCGAACTAACTATATAATTCTAGCTTTGACCATCCGAAACTTAACAGGGGCTACGTACGTCTTTCTACTACGTATATGGGATTGTGAGAATGTTAAGTCCGGTATTTTACAATTTACTTAAAAATAATATAGGAAGCATAGCTTACGTTAAGTAACCACTATAAACTGAAAAATAATTCAATCACCATGAGAATGCCGGAAAGTCTAGCCCAAGGTCACATACGCAAACCAGGCGCCAGTAAATACCGACTATCCAGACTATTGTGAAATAAACATTTTAGCGACTATTATATAGAAAAGAGTCTCGGAGATTGAAAACTTCTATAATTTCAACATTTGATCCATCCATCTTGTCTGGACTTCTTCAGGGTAGTGATTCAGGTAACCTCACTTACTGCTCCTCAAACTCGTTAACAAACAAGGTACCTTCAGGCTAAACGCATACTGACCGAAAGTTGAATGTGCTCAGAGGTATTTTTCCTCGATTATTTTGGTCTATAGTTTTAGTGGCCCTAGATTTGATATCTTTGATAATCACTGCGTGTCCATAAAACGAGGATATCCACACATGTTGAGAAATATCAGTACTCATTCGATTCTAGTAGGAGTCTTTCCAGATTAAAATTTAAACATTTGCAGCGATTTAAAGGAGTATCTAGGGATTACTTGTTACTTTGGACTATTCTTAATTTACAGTAGATTATGTGCACTCCCTTCAGTGTATATCCATCCAGTCAAATCATTGAGCTATTGATCTAATAGTCGCCGGAATCGGACAAGTTGTGCCGCATAATGGAGAATTTTAATGATATTGTTTGGGCACCATAGGATATTGTTTACCTTTATTACAGTCATGGTATATATAGTCCATTTACTTGCTCCGGCCTGAATCGATTTTTATTTCATGAGCAAACAGAAACAGCTTATGAATGCTATTGTCATGTCCCCTTTGGTGGGAAACGTCAGTTGATTGAAAACGCGCGTAAGAACATACCCTAGATAAGGAGTCTATCACTGCATTGTCCGGAGTTAAAAATGGTCATCACTTCTGATTTAATTGGAAAATATTCTGGAATTAACTAGACTTCAAAAATAGCATAGGTTACTTTAAAGTAAGCTGGCCCATGAATATATACACTGTTTTCCATATCTGTTTATTGCTTTGTATTGTCTTATATATTGAAAACTGTTTAATATGGTTTGTTTATGAGGGTAATCAAAATTCAAACAAACTTCGCTGGCGTAAATTAGGGACCACCATCCAAAATCCTCCATCTTTTCGGAAAGAATGCTGGCAGAACAACGGACCTGTTTCATAACAACAGTAAGGTAAAAATGTCATCTATTCCCATCGATTCTCAGATATTTTCAGAATGAGTGAAAAGCGGTTTACTGAATTGTGTGTTTTAGATTCGAGTTTAGAATCACTACAGAATTACCTACTTTGCCGTCAAAATTCGGTTGCCAGATAGATCCAATATTCAATATCTTTTTCATGAGCTAGTATAAACCAGTTGATTTCTTTGCGCTCGATTTTTGTTCTTTCCGTAAAGTTCTAGGTGTCTGGTAGTGTCCATTGATGATCTACGATTTTACACTAACTGGGTTATTTTTTACCAAAGTAATTTACGTCCACGACAGGTCATGGCGAAGTTCAAACTATGGCTTTACTTAAGAGGATTCAGCTCTAAAGATAAATGTGTAGAAAGTATACGTGTAAAAACGTGTAAAAATGGTTTTTATGTAAGTAGGTTTTAGGTGGTTGGTGAGTAGGCTGATATTCTCTTACAGGCGTTCGATAACTTAACAAGTATTATCTTTGATGGATTTATTGAGACCATAAACATTTTTGAAATCTTCAGATGTGTTAACACTGCAGATTTTTCTGTCTAAAGTTTGACCAGAGAACATCGGTACAAACAAATGCTAGACCTAACCATCTTGGGAACTCTATAAATCCTTGGTAGGTTATTTTAGAATAGACGACATCTTCAAGAACTGAAAGTATCAACGTAACCAATTTTTATTACCTTCTGATGCGACCGAGGTTTGATGATACGTTCAGAAAAATCATAAATCCATCTGAAGCCTGAAATGAGCTAGTCAATATACCTGATTGACTATGCTCACCACTAAATGTTCCATTATATCCCGCCGTCATTAAAATCAGAATAAATCCATGGTTGAGTATTTTATTGAAGGAAAACGTTGGCTTGACATGGGAGGCAGGGCGTTTAGAAAAATGGCAGAAACGCGAAGAGAACGTTGCGCGCAAGAAGTGGAAGAGCTGTTTTCGGTAAAGTCAAACAAAACGAGTACAATAATGTTTATTTTTCACAAATCGTATTTTCTTCGTAGAAGCGTTTCACTACAGCTGCCCCCGCCTAGAAAGGGTTTACACTTTCGGTACATATCGGCTGCGTTCGGGGGAACTTGTCGACCAAAGTTCGGTTGTAGGGCGGAAGGGTTGACGAACAGGAAGCAACCAATGACGATCGAGTTGTCACCGAGTTTTTCCGCTGCCGTGCCAATCATTACGTGTCAAGTTCGTCTATCGGGTTGGCGTGCCACACCAGTGTGGCTCGTATCCAGAGTCTGAAGATGGCGTTCGTAGTGATTCGGACCAGATAAAGCTGCAGACGTAGGACGGGACCAGATTGAGCGAAGGAGCCAGAAACGACCAGTGCGAAACCATTCGTATACCAGATATATTCGTAACCAGAAAATCGACTGAGTGCATTGACAAGAGCATGGGTGATCAGGCCAGCTTTCGCCAACGTTGATTGAAGTCAGTAGGACAATGGTCGGAGGTATATGCTCGGGATAAAAAACATCAAAGAAAAAGGAGAAAAGTGTAGCATGCATGTAGTATGGGGGTAAAATCCTATGCCGCACCCGTGGTTGATTAGTAGTTAGTCGAGAATGCGTACAGGTAGGCGTGCGCGGCGACCAGAACGCGAGACAGTAGCCTCGTGCGTACCTCGTGAGCCTGCATTTTCATCCGCAGTCAAGTGCGGCGTGGTCTGCTGATCTGGACGTGAGACCGGAGTCTCATCCGTAGATAGTTCAGATGACGCGTGCTGCTGACTGGGACGTGAGAATGAGGTCTTTGGTTTATCAAGTGTGGGATCAGAAGGAAAAGTAAGGATCCCGCTGGTGAGTTGGACGAGTACAGCATTAAATCTCGATATACCATGTAGGGCACTGTCATCGACGTGTGCTGGTATGAGACGATCAATGCTGACTGTGTCTATCAACCTTGAAGGTCTTTTCGTGACGAGAGATCACGTGAAAAGATCCTTCGTATGGTTACTGAGTACCGAATCTACTAGTAAGAAAACTTGCGGACAGGTAAATAACTCTCGAGGGAGAGCGACCTGTCGATGTTATATTCGAGTTCACACCGGAGGCAGTATTCGCATCTACGCAGATAGTCGTTGGACGTTATCTGATATACATAAAATCGCTGCTCCGTGGTGTGAAAAAATTCACCAGGCAGATACAATGTCCTGCCGTGTACAAGTTCGGAGGCGGAACATTGGATATCTGCCGTTGCTGCTCCGTAATCACCATGTTGTCTCCAACGAATGCCATCTTTCTGAGAACCGAGTGGAGAGAGGAGTCTTAAGGACTGTGATAAAGACGAAGTAACACATATAGCAAGTAAACTATCGAACTCACGCTTAGCGAAAACTAATCTGTCCAGTGCCAGTAAGCAAGGTTTTGCACTTCCTCATAACTCTCTTATGTCATCGACCAACTCTTCCTTCGATCGTTTATCACCTCGTGCTAATGAAGCTAACGGTTTGAGCTCACGAAACGTTATTCCTGGTCTCTCAAAACCTTGTATTGTAGTTTTGATGTTCGAACACTATCCTAAAAAGGACAACAGGGTCATTAACTAGAACGCTGGCATCAAAGGCGATTGATGTATGATGCGTCTCGGAAACACGCGTACAGGATCCAAGTAAAATCAATAATTTGATTTCACCTTGACAAAATAAAGAAGCAGCTCGATTTACCCTTCGTTATTCTGGAAGCCTTGATGAGTATTAACGTACCTGGTCAACCGAATTTTCAGTCTTTGCAGCGATTTCGATTGGCATTGCACCTACCCCACGAAAGTACCTTATTACCATATGGTAAGAACAAAGCGTCTTTTTATACACACTAGATCGTTGGCATGTTTACACACTATGCAGGGAATCTGAACTCTAAAATGGCATTAACTGAAGTTTATTTTGGTTCAAGTACTTGAAAATATTAGGTAGAAGCTTATACGATACCATGATCAACGTCGATCTTATCATTAGATGCAAACATTATACGAGAATTCCGAAAATGATGAGTAAAACGATAAAAAATTGATGTATGAAAAGATGAAAAATATTACAGTAGAAAAACGAATAAAACAAACGTTGTTGCTCACCAAATGACTGCGGTGGATTAAAAGTTTATTGATATCAAAACGTTGGTAAAGTTATGATGATAAGAAATATAGAGACAACGAATGATTCACAAATGTATAAATATGCACACAAAAAGAAGGGACATACCTCGATAGCTAGCATCATGTTCGTTCAAGTTTTTTCGTCTTGTAATTCATAGTTATCAGAAGAAGCTAATACTCTGAAATAATACACACATGTATATCCCAAGATAATGTAGGCTAAAAAGAATCGGATGATGAGATAATGATCACCTGAAAGAGTAGATAGCAGTTATATTACAGATTTATTCACTTGGTGGTTGAATAAACGAGAACGAAAAATATACAGGCAGCTGTGTATTTGTGAACAGTAACGGGTATAGCATACAATTTGAGAACGAAACAGTGACTAGAGACCAATGATGAATTTGAACAATAATTTAACCATCAGTAACAGTAATTGTACAAATGAAGTGGAATTATTAAAAACGTGAATAATAATGAAAGTTTTTTCACAAAATAAGTCTTTTTCTACAGAGTTCAACAAGTATGAAGTGATTTAGTTTCCTTATGGGCACAGTGAATTATCCTAGTGTAATATTAGCTCATTGTCTTTGGAGAGCGTTGGCCAATAGGTTCTGACTCGCAGACTGAGTGAAAACATGATCACTGAAAGACTCAGAGTTCTTGTGTTCATTTCTATATAGTCCATATTTGGATTTGGTTGAAGACTATGAAGTAAAAGTATACAATGGTATTCGAACTGTAACCTACGAGTAGAAGATATTCGTATGTCACTG